GTGTGTGTGTGTGTGTGTGTGTGTGTGAACAAGCGAGAGAGAGGGAAAGAGAGAGGTGTGAGAGAGAGCGGGAAAAGACATAAAAGACTGAGTATGGGAATGAAGTTATGCTACTCAATCTCAATAATCTCCTGATATCATTACATATCCACATTCTCCATGCCTGATGGCTGCCCGCTACATTTCTTGCAATTACTCACCGCAGTAACAACATTAGAGCTAATGCAGGGGGTGATTATGGCACCTCTGCTATTTGTTCTTATTTAGCTGGGCTGCCGCAGGCCGCTGTAATGGACGGGCATGTGCTCTCTGAGACGACCTGTTTGCCGTAGTTAAAGATTTCACTGGATTCATCATCTAATATAATATAGTGTAATCCAGCAGAGCTGAGATGAGATGAGGTAGCTTGCCAGGTACAAAGTGTGTCATTAGGGTGCATTTTCTGAACCATTTTCCATCATAGCTGCAGCTGTAATCTTATGGTGAATGTGCAGGTTGGTATGGGGCTTGAACCTGTGACCTTGCAACAAATTAAAGATAATATGCTCAAATTGTTTTGTACTACTTAAAATTAGGTTAAACCAGAAAATCCGATGCATAAGTTTAAAGTTTAATTCCAGTCGTTAGTTGCGGGATCCATGAAGCAATTGTGGAATTAGTTTCTTTATTTGCTTTAAGATACAAAACTGTCTGAACACTTAAACATAATATAGACTTTTTAACCATAGAGTTAAGCGGCACAGACACCAAAAGCATATGTCAGTCCAGATAGTAACATTAGCATTGTCACTGCAAAGGTACCGTAACATGAAACATCGTATTATCTGCTAAGAATCAATAATTTATTTCAGTTCAGTTCAATTGAATTTGAGTTTTTTTCTGTTTAGTGCCAAATCACACCTACAGTCACCTTAAGGCACTTAATATTATAAAAGACCCTACAATAATACGGAGAAAATCCCAACAATCAATTGATCTTCCTTCAGCAAACATTTGGCAACAGTGGGAAGGAAAAACTCCCTTTTAACAGAAAGAAACCTCTGACAGAACCAGGCTCAG